TAGAAAAATAAGGTTTGGAAAAGCTACTCCCAAAACGACGGATATGTTAGAGCAGTTTAATTTGAAGGGTTCTGGCGCAGCCGCACTTAGTGTGTGGGACATCTCTGCTGATATCCACACGGACTGTTCAGGAGGTCTTGGTCTTTTTGGTAATTCAAATTTGTCAGATAATTACCAATCATCAAAATGTGAGTTTGATCACTCGGTAACGAATAAGTGACGTCCTGGATGTCATACAGCAAACTCTCATCATCACTGTCACCAGTCTTTTTGCGCATCGTTGAATCAACCACAAAATTGTCATAGTCTAAAATTCTTTGACGTAAGCACTCTCACATAAAAAACAACTAAAGAGGATCCCCGACTGACCGGTCACAAAATGGTTATTTTAAACGAGTTTTTCAAAACAGGATGGCCACATGTTTGGTTTATACACTAAAGAATTGCGTTCATAGGAATTACACTGGACCTTTTTAAATGGCAGGTTTAAAGGCTAGCCTGAGTAGTGATACCATGTAATCAAGATTTTCGAAAGCTCAGTTTTACTGTTTCGCATTTCTGGAGATCTGTTAATCCATTTATATATGATTGGCTTCTAATTTTCTACGTAACAAAGCAAAATTAGCGGAGAAAAAAAATGAAACCTGCATCACTTGCACTGTAATTAGCACACTTGCATACGCGAGAGAACTCTGTGACACTGAAAATGAGTGAATGGTTAGAATCCTAGGAAGGCGAAAACTGCTACTCTCGTGTTGAATTCGTGGAACAAACACTCGCTGTAAGCTTCGTTCATTCGTTTCGACAGTAAATTCGCACTCATATATAACAAAATCTCCTAAGCAGCCTTCAAAGCAAAAAGTCTTTGACAGCCTCGCCAGCGGATGGTTGCTTTTCGCACATGCGGTTACTCTCGAGTGCCTTTGCCTTCTACTGAAGGGAATTTGGAAGAAGCCCCCAATTTAGGCCTTTCTGGTAAACATTGCAGATTACTGTTGACTGCAGTAGTGCAGTATCAGCAAAACCACAGCATTACCGGCGTGCAGGTACCATCACTATTGTGCTACTGCAGTTACGCCCAGGAAATAGTCCCTTCGTCCAAAGTTGAGCGCCTTTTCTCTCTCTCACAAGTATCACTGTTTTCATTCCTGAGGAAAAAGGACAGTGACACGCGAAAA